GACAAATCCCTAGGAGTCGGCTGAGGAGAAGAAACCTTGTTTCTTCTCCCACGCAGGAGTTGCCGCTCCACACCCATATCCTCCCCTCCCCCCACCAACTCCCCACCCACCCAACCACCCAACCAACTACCCAAGCAACCAACGACCCAACCAACCAACCAAGCCATGTCCAACCCCACCGAAGCGCTCGCGCCACCAAAGGACGCCGCCTCAGCTCATGAAGGAGTGGAAAGAAAAGGCGTCAGAAGAGGCTTGGGGATGGGAAGCCCAATTTTCTGATTCTTTCAAATTGACTGTAGAGTAAAATAGAAAATCCAATGAAACACTATTAGGGGTTTTTTTTATCCTGTGTCTTTTTTAGTTTTTGATTTTTTTCCTCTATGTCCTTTTTTACCCTGTTTTTTTTCTTACATTTCTGATCATTTTTGAATGTTTTTGGCCCGTTTGTCATCTCTTTTATCTCTTGCAATGGTTTCTCTCAATCAATCTAATTTTTTTATCATTGATAAATTGCCTTTGGGGTGGGGCCTCAGTGGCTCAACCTTTTTTTGGAGTCTCTGAGGGTGCCATATGGCGACGACTCCCGTCTTTTTTTAATATAGAAAAAAAAAGGCAAAACATTTGGCGGAATTGGTGCAACGACTCCCTTGTATTAGGTGGACGACTCCCGTCAATTTAAATATAAAAAAGGGCAAACATTAGGCGGAATTGGTGCGCCGACTCCTGCACTTTAGGCAGACGAATCCCTATTTTTTTAATAAAAAAAATAAAAATTCTCCAGGTAAAATTAGTGCAACGACTCCCTATGTTTTTTCGGGAATTGGAAGAACGACTCCCGTCCGACGACCTCCCAACCAAAACGGGAGTCGTCGACTAAAATTTGGGAGTCGTTTTTCCAAGCCCCTTTTAATATATCTTTTTATGTTTTATGGGTTTGATTGGTCTTACCACAGCGGGTGTCCAAATTGAGTGGAATTCCACACAGGTACCTCACCATAAATTGGGGATGAAAAAGCCTTTTTGTGGCTGTTTGAAACTCTTTGTGGGTGTCTGCAACCTGATGGCAGGGCCAGGAACAGGTACCCAAAATTAGTTAAATTTCAAGCAGGTGCCCACACCCGGTGCATTGATAAATGCACTCCCTCCCCCTTCCTGCCTGCCCATTTCCCCACCCCTCCAAAAGGGGTGGGAAGTAAGACCCGCCCTTCTTTTTGGGAGGGTTTTGCTACACACGCCCCTCTGTTTGCTGAAATTTGCAACAAGAGGAGCGTGCAGTACAACCCACCCAAAAAAGGGAGGGTTGGCCTGCACACCTGTTCTGGAGAGCCAGGAGGAATTCCTCCCGGCTATTGTGACTGTTCAAGTCTTTATGGCCGGGAGGGATTCCGTCCGGTCTTTGAGACTGTACAAGTCTTGAAGACCAGGAGAATCCCTCCCGGACATCAAGACTGTACAAGTCTCAATGGCCGGGAGGAACCCCTCCAAAAGGGGTGTGCAATCCCACCCGCCCGTCTCTGAGGGGAGGGTTTGATTGCACGCCCCTCAGAAGTCTGATTTAAGACTGGGATAATCCCTCCCGGACATCAAGACTTGTACAGTCTTGATGTCCGGGAGGGATTATCCCAGTCTTAAATCAGACTTCTGAGGGGCGTGCAATCAAACCCTCCCCTCAGAGACGGGCGGGTGGGATTGCACACCCCTTTTGGAGGGGCGGGAAGGGGGAGGGAGTGTGTTTATCAATGCATGGGTACCTGGTGTAAGACTCAAAAAGTGGGTGTAAGACCCCTTTTGCTGAATGGAGAAGGGGATGGTGGAGGTGCAAGCTCTGCACTTCTATACTATCAGATAACAAGACCAACCAAGATCAGCTTGGCAAGTTTTAATCAAGTGATAGGGTAAGTTCAGGAATGAGTTTGTGTGATGAAGAGGTTTGATTTGTTTGTGGTTGGTACGTAAAGTGTTTGTGTAAAGGTGGTCAAATATTGCTTGAGTGTTACTTGAATGAGGATACAACAACTGGGAGGAGAGCCTCCTTATAGAGACAGAAATGAGTGAATTTAGCTCCAGGGCAGCCAGTAATGAGTGATTTTGGCTGGCCTGGGCTGTCAGACTATGTGATGCCAAGACAAGTGTCTTCTAGCTACACAAGTTGCAAAATGTAAGAGTTTTTATGGTAAAAAATCTGGGATAAAACTGGTACAAGTGATTCAAAATAATTATGTTGAATTTATGGATCAAATCCAAAAATATGGCCAATTTATATTAATAAAATTAATATAAATAAAACCAGAGGGGCCTGATAAATCAGGGGTGGTTTAATCCCTCTAAGTTATTGTGCAAAAAGCAGAGGATTTAGGTACCTGAAACACTGGGGCCTGTAGCAGGTGTGGTTTAAATCCCAGGAGATAATTTTTAGGGGAAAATCTTCAAGAAAGGGTTATTACTTACCAGTAATAATCCAAAGTAAAGAACCTAACACTAAGAATTGATTACTTGAGAATGAAAACCAGAGCCTGAAGAATTACAATTAGACACTGAGACTATATTGAAAATTATTATAAGAGACAATCATAGCATACCCGATGAGCTGAGTTAAGAACTCTGACAGACAACTATATGAAGATGTGACAGGACAGTAGACAAGCAGAACTGAAACACAATGTATTAGTAAGATTATTTGTTGAATGGAGAAAGGTCGGAGAAAGTGTTTCATCGTGTATTTCTCACCAAGTTGAAGAACTGAAAGAGACGTTCGGTGATAGAGCTTTTTGTGAGTTGAAGGTTGAAGTGAGGGTTTTGATCCTTGGTGGTAGAGATTGGGTGAGTCTTGAGATTGAGGTAGTCTGATTTTGTGGGAGTATGGAAGACCTGAGAAGACTGGCGATTGAATTGAGTCGAGAATGATCCTTCTTTTATACCTGAGATCTGACAGCTCGATTAGGTTTGAATTGATGATGATTAAGATTTGAGATATATGATGCGGAAGTGG